TTCAGAATTTAGGTGAGCTAACTCTGAAGAATGACTCTTATGGCTTGTACTCTTCAGACTTGTAGAAAACTTCAGAGTTCAGACTTCTAAGTTTGAAAAAGAAGACTTTAGAGTTCAGACTCCAGAGTTTGGTGAGCTAAGTCTGAAAAAGCAGACTTCAGAGTTTGGGTGAGCTAACTCTAAATAATGACTTCATATTTGTTCTCTTAAATAACTCTTAAGTAAAATTTTTCAGTAAATTAAATTTAGAATAAAATGAAGTTAACCCTAGAATAAAATTGAATTTAGAAATGGAACTATATCAGTAAATTGAATTTAAACTTAGAAGTAAACACCATTTTTTTTCCCGGGAATCAGTTACCACACGAATTAATTAATCTAAAAATAAAATCAATTGCATCCTAAATTAGTGGGATTGATTGAATAAGAGGACACATGTCAATCAAATGAGTTTAATTGAACTGTTAATGCAATTGTCTAGATACGTTCAAATGAGTCTAATTGAACTGATAACGTAAATCGTGTCTAGATACTTCTTTAGGAGGGAAAACAAGAAAACTGACTCACCAGAAGATGGCACGTGTCACTCTAGTTACTTATTTATTACATGTGTTGATAACTCTCAATTTGTGAGAGTTATTTGTTGTTCAATACCCCTATTTTATTGTGTCTTTGGTACCCATTTTGTTCCTATCCTGTATTTTTGGTCCAAAATATGTTAAGAGGTGATGAAAGGTCAAGAATTTAATTATTTTCTAAAAAACCCATTGCTATTGATAAACTGCCCACTTTCTGCTCGCATTCATCCTATGGCGTATTTTCATCAAGTCGGATTTGAACAAAATTCAAATATTGATTCTCTTGAGTATTAATGGGATTTAATTCTGAGTTCAGATCTGAAAACCTTGAGTTACTTGGAAGAATGAGTCTGGTTGAGTTATAAAATGCCAATAAAGTACTCCTACCATTATTTTAATGAAAAAGTCTTCCTTACCTATTCATTATTTTAATGGCTAGGTAGCTTTACCTTTTGCAACCTTTCAAGAAAAAGTGACTAGGCCAGAAAAAGTAGACATGTGGTGATGAGAGGTCCTTACATTCTAGACGATGAAGACTTTCTTCCTTTGGGCGAAGAGTTTGTCCGGTTCTCACTTTTTCATTATATATTGAAGCTTTTCTCTCATTTGGAAATGATCCACTCCATCAACAATTTAGCTAAGCAACCTTGGAGCATTCTCTCAAGCTCTACAGCAGTAGAGCAAGTTTAATTTCTGCTTGTAATTTTATTTTCGTACTTAGTCTTTAATTCTCGCTACTGTGTATTGTATGCCCTCTGTGGGCAACAGTTTGAGTATTATTTTCTATTCAAGTATTTCTTATGCATTTTTCTTCTTCTGTTTCCTCTATGTTTTCTAATTTTATTATGAGCTAAGCACCCCTTTGGGTGTGGGTGTGAGTCAAGCTTAATAATTTAAAGGCACACTTGGGTGTTGCCATTTTTATTGATTCTTAAGCTTGGTCATTTAAGTCGGGACTTAAGTTCAACGCATATAAGCTGATCACTTTGAAGTATTAATATTAGATCCTTGATCCAGAGATGGGCGGATCTGAAATACGGCTTAGATGATGCACAAAGATTTGAGAGAGTCTTTGATAATCACGCAGAGATGCGGGTTCTGCATGTTTTAGCTAACGTTCAGATATTAGTCGAGTTTATACTACAATACGTTGTGAGTATAAATCTTCAGGCTAGTGGAACTAGATATCTTTTTATCTATTAGCTAATTCGGCAAGTTTAAGATTGATAAAACTGGACGCTTTATGGGCACTCTGTGGGCACAGTATATCAGAATTCACTTTCGAGATATAGGAATTCTTATAGAAGTCCCATGAGTTTCTGACCAAACTGTTCCTGCAATATTTTTAAGTAAAGCTTACACCCATACCCATCTTTTACTATTAAAGGTTTATTTCGTATTTTAACGCTTTGTACCAATCAAAACTCAAATATTTTCTCAACCCGAAGCATGTTCAAGAAGTTCATGAAAGTCTCTGATTCTCAGTAAGTCCAGTCCCTGTGGAAACAATCTTGGTACTATACCACTCTATTACTTGAAGCGATCATAGTGTCGGCGTGCACTTGCACAGCCACTTTGGGGACTTTGTGCCCACTGTGTGCACACTTACGATTTTAGCACATCATGTGTGTGTGTGTATATATATATATATATATATCTCTCTCTCTCGCAAGACCCCCACCCTTCCCTTTTCTATCCACTCTCCCTGTGAAAATGACAATGGTAAAATGTCCAACCCCCATCACCGTCCATCTCCTTCTTGATAGCATCGCCCTTGGCTTTCAATTGAGCTAATGAGGACATGTCATTTCTATTGCTTGTTTTCTCCAAGATTGAATATTTGAAGAAACACTACTTGTAACACCTTGAGTTTGGAGTCCAAACCTCCACATGACTTGCCATGCCAGTGGGGGTTGCAAGGACGTCCATGTAACTCACTGCAACTACAAAAATGGTGTCACACGACCAGGGTCACATAGCACATCGTGTAACTCATTACAAGTGATTGGAGGTATGCACTACTTGCCATGCAGGCAAGGTGCAACTTTAACCATGTAGGACTCAAGATTGAATTACTAAGTGGACGTGGGCGGCCTTAACAAAGAAGTTAGGGATTTGATTAGTTCGTAGATATCAGTCATATGAGTTGCTCATTTGAGGATCTATTTCAATACATAAGGTATGTTTGGACTTATTTACATTTTTGGGACATGAATTTGCGTACACTTTGGAAAATGAAATCTAATTTGGACCATAATGCATTAAATTCATAGGCATATGAGTCATTTTAATTGATAAGTGCCGATTTTTGGTGTTCTCACATTTGTATCTAGAGAATAGACGTTGAGTCATCGGGGGATTATGATCGGTACTCATGTAGAGGCATACACCAGCCATTGCCTAATGGGTGGAAGTGCTTCTAGTGAATGAGTAAGCATTCGGATCATCGAGGGTCTTGAGCCTAAAATTCTCATTGAGTCGAATATGGATGACAATTGGTACATAATGAAACTTGGTAATAGAACATGTTGCCTAATTTTGTGTTGTGTCACAATCAATGAAAACGGGTCTCATCTATCATCGAAAAATGCAAATAATATTTGATTTACTTGAAAATGGTATATTTTAAAGGGTGATATTTTGTATTGTGAAGATATTTCTAATTGGGAAAATTGTTATTTTAGAACATTCTTTCAATTTTACCATTCATATACGTACATTATAGACTTCTTGAACTCCCTAGACATTTTTTTTGTCCACATGTATAACAAGTTCTAGAGAAACCTACTCCATGCATACCAAGAGGTTAATCCTCAACGTGCGATGATGCTAAGATGATACACATGATGGAGACTGCCTTGGAGCGTCGATGTGAATCGACCATGAAGATAATCTTGAAAAGTTAATCAATTATAATATATTAAAATATAATTCAAACAAATATCTAATTGTATAATATATTAATCAATACAAACAAGATGATAAAAAAAATAAAAAATATAATATATTGATTAAAAGAATTTCAAATTGATTATTATATATATTATAATATTTGATTTGTTAAAACAAATTTTAGAAAAATCTGTTATTTAAGATTTTAAATAACAATTACATATAATATGAATAAAAATAAAAAATTTCTACCTCGCATATCCTAAGTAATTAATAACTTACAAAAAAATATATTTAAATAATTAAATTAGATATTTTATTCAAATTATTTGATACATTTTTATTATTTTTGAATCAAAATAAGTATAAGTTTAATTTTTATATTACATGAACATTGTTAAAATTGTTATATTTATGTCTTGATAACTAAATATTGAATAATAATTAATATGATTAATAATTATCGTAAATAATTAGTACCATATATGTATAAGATATAATTAGTAATTTTAAATAATATATATTTATATGAAAAATGTTAAAATTTTATTAATATTTATTTAAAATTAATAGTAACAAATAATAATTAATATTAATGAAAGTTATAATTGAAAAAAATGACAGTAAACTATCAAAATGCTACTTCAAGTAACGTTTCAATAAATTAGCTTATGTGCATCCAAACATATACCCATAAAAAAACTATTTTATAAGCTAACTTATTTTTGTCAAATAATACCTTAAAAGGTGTGATAAACATATGTTTCTTTCTTTTCTTCATTTATGGGATTGTGAATTAAAAAGATGTCGATCAACTGTTTGATGAATTGTCAGAGTGAAAATCAAACAGAGCTTTTAGTTTTATATTTGAGAATTTTATTGAAACATTCTTTCTTTTTGTTTTTTCTTGTTTATGCATATACCAATTCTTTATACAAATGTGCATATATAACAATTTTCATTCATTCATTCATATTTTAAAAAGCTGTATGGATTTCATGCACATATACATGTGTAACAATTTCCAATTACTCGTTTTTTTTTTTTTTTTTGAGTTTTATGCACATGAGCATAGATAACAATATTCAATCATTTTTCTATACTACTCGAGAGCTTATTCACATGTGCATTAAGTAACAATTTTTTCTTGGTTTTATAAGTATATGCATATGTAATAATATTAAATTGCTTTTTCCCTGGGTTTTAGTCATATGTGCATAGGTAACAATTTTAAATAATCCACATTTTGAATTCATTTGTAGCCACGGTGAATATGGTGACTTATGCATATGTACATGTCGTATAGAAAATTAAAGATAGTGAATACAGTAACTTATTCACATGTGCATACAACCTAAAAAATAAAAGATGGTGAATACAACTTAATTATACATTCATACAACCCAGAAAATGTGACATTTTTTTGAAAGATAAATGAAGAAATCTCTAATTTATTGCAACCTCTCTTAATTTAAAGAATTTTTGCTGAAATGTTATCATAATACCATTTTGATTTAAAAATAATCCCAGTAGCAAGCCTTTGTAGAGTTTATGCTTTTGCACGATTAAGTCCCCTTGAAAGGGTACAAAGTGATACACGACAAACATTATATACACGTGCTTTTTGCTATGAAATTTAGCTAGTCAGCCAAAATCCATCAACTTTACCATGTAACCAACCCAGCGGGAAATCTTGAATCCATGCTAAAACTATGCAATTTTCAGTCATGCAAGTAAATAACACTTCCAATGATATACTTTAATCATGTACAGAAGTTGTATACTAACCGTATCGTATCTGTCTACGCCTAACACTTTCTCAGGACGCACATGTTTCTGCAAGATTCATTACCAGCTGAGATGCAGAATTCTAACATTCATCATCCTATTCCATCTTCAAATATGCTCTAATGGAAACCTTCTCTTCTAGACCTCAACAATGAATCTTCGGCTGAAAATCAAACTTCTAAACGTTAGTTGAAAGACAGATTAACCAAACCAACCTCCCACCCAAAAGTAGAACTTGGGGGGGGGGGGGTTACGTAATGAGTAGCATTCAAGATCAAAGATTTGCAGCACGCATATCAGCAAAATCTAAATCTTAGATAAGTATGGCCAAAGTTGATATGGAATTGTATATATTTCTTCTTCAGCAAGGCATTAGCCCTGCAATTCCTACTAGATCTTCAAACCTAATTGAAATGGACAACATCAGAAACAAAAAGAGATTCAAGAATCCCCAAGTAACACAAGGTACAAATGTAACTCCATTATCAAAGAGTGCATTTGTATAAAATAGATACAACTAAAAGGCAAGATTAGAGAAAAAAAAAAAGTGGGCTACTTATGGGTAGTGCTTCACAAAATGGAGGAATGTTCTAAGAACAGTAACTGCAAGTATATATAAGCCAAATCTTTTTTTGGAGCATATAGTATTTATATACAGAAAATGCACAAATAAACTCATATACCCTCCTCACTTTTGTTGAGGTTTGAACCCCTGACCTCTAGGGAGGACAAAGGCCCATATACCACTGGGCCAAAGGCCCTTTGGTATATAAACCAAATCTTTAGGAGCATAACAATAAGAATTGGCTATATATTAGGACAAGAAATACACACACACAAGGACAAGAAGGATGCAGCAACAATGGCATATGCAAGCTTGATGAATGCAAGTATCATCACCTTCTTTGTAAACAAAATCTTTTGCAGACTAAGCACTCTTACCATGACTATCGTCATTGTCATCCCTATCTCCAGTTTGAGTTGTGAAGAACGGTGTAAGGTAGTTCCTATCTAATGCCCTGAAAGATGCCGCACTGCTTCCAAAAAATCAAAAGAGCATTAGAGAAAGAAGTGAGAATGATACTTAAACGAGTAGGTGTTCACAACCTTCTATGAAATTCTTTAAGTCTCATCTTTAGTCTGTTCCCAGATGTTGACTCTCCATCAAAAGGAGCCACGTAACCAATGTTAGATTCGAAGCTCTGGAGCCAAACGAAGAGAAACAGTTTAGACGTATCACATAAATGCCAATTATCATCTGATTTATTCAATGACCGTTAAGTTTAACAGCTAATGTTTCAAGTAGGTGCATCAACTTCCATCTTTCTACTGATAAAACAAAACGGTACCATTGGAGCAAAAGTAAGTATGTGCCATAAGTTCATAGGAAAAACATGTACACTTATGAGTCAAAAGTATCAGCACTAGTGCTGTCATCTAAGATGTATCGGAAGTAAATGAGATACAATCTAGACAGCACTCTTGGCACCAGAGCATAACATAATCATCGTTCGTCTGAGAAACTGTTGATGTGCGTAGAATCCTAATCCAAATGGAAAACCTGCTTCAGTTTTTGGGCCCTGCATGAGAGACTCTCCTATCAGTGGACACTACTGCTAAGGCAATGAGGGTCTTGCTGCTCAAGGATGGATCTTCTGAAAGTTCCTTGTAGATATATGTACATATATATTTCTTGTATATATATATATATATATATATCTGTTAGTTCCTTGTCCATCTCCAATTTGAATTTCTGTTTTGACTCTAGTCCCTAGTAGTAGTAGCATTACATGTGAACTGAAGCTATTTTAATGTTAGAAACATCAAATAGCTCTCAAGTATATTCTCTCCCTATATATTGTTTTCTCCACGTAGTGCATACTCATTTTTGCTATTATGTGGCCCTATTAGGAGAGCCATGGAAATCTCTACGCTCCATCTGGCGCTTGTGATCGAGTTTATTGTTTGCTTCGTTATCACAAAGAAAACAATGTATAATTTACTCCCAAAACAACACAACTATAGAAATGCCACAGAACACTAAGCATGTAGATCCATGCTAACGTTTGAGTCTTGGTTCAACCATTTCCATTCCCTACATCACTTCAACGAGGTGGAAATATGGGAGGGGAGAGAGACACAGAGAGACAGAGAGAGGAAGAGCGAACCCTGAACCCAGTAATCAATTAAAACATCAGGCATCCAATCATGGGACTAATTGCAACCATATATATATGGAGGGCTGTGACAATCAACATAATTCAGTTTCCAACCACATAGACCATGCATATAGAACACCCTCATGAGATAGAGACTTGGAGTACCTTAAATGAATCTTCAAATTCTAGAACTACTTTATCATGAACTAGTGTGTATGTATATATATTGAAGTACATAATATTTATATACTGACGCAGCATGGAAACGAGTTAGTCAAACTAACGTGTTTTAAAGAAAATACCTTGGAAACCACCAATGTTTACAAATTGTAATCAATAAATTATGTCCATAAACAAAGACGATGATCCCTATTTATAGACTACTACCCAAACTTATCTAAGAATCCTAAAAGGACAAAAAAAACTATGGAATTATCCTTAAAATAAATAGAAAACAGGAAACTGACTCAATAAAGAAAACTGCTTGTTCATTAAGTATCTGAATGAAATGATTCCAAAAAGGGGCTATGACATCTCATTTACATGTCACCCTTTTCTCAAGGGAGATAAACTTATGCAAATGTTTGATCCTTCTTTATACAGCGCTGTGTTTTGATATAAATTGTTTTAACTCACTAGGCGTTAAGCCTAACACTTTTTCTTATTGGCATAGCAACTTTGGTGGTTGATGTGAGTGCCACTCAGAGGGCCAGAAGCACATGCGGGTTGGCATTTTTGGTGAGTTACCATACCTTTTGAAGATAGCAACTTTGGTGGTTGATGTAGCCCCTAACTTAAATATGGTTCTACTAGAATAGATAGACGTCCATAGAACTCTGATATTTAACCTTTGTTAATCGCTATCTTGTAAATATTAATACCTTATGGGTAAATACTCTAATTTTGTGTAAAAACGCCTGTTTTCACCGAGTTTTAAATTTATTGCTATTTCAAATTTTAGGGGTGTTACAAAAAAACCAAACAATCCTTGCTAATAAGCTATGATGCTATCAACAATATATATGGATTTGACATTAAAAGAAATACTCACGTCAGTCAAGTGGCCTTCGTGATTATCTCCTACAACTTGTAAAGCTTCAAGCATAGTACCTGTTGACCCTCCAATAAGTAAGACCTGCATTATTAAATACCATGTTAGAAGTTGATCTACAAGCAGCTAAAAGCCAGATCTAATATACTTTCTTCCAGGATTAATGAGAAATATTGTCACTCAAAGATGACAAAGTGATTGAAGTTGAATCAATTTAGTTTCTATTTAATGTATTCCAATGAGACCTCATTAACTCAAAGAGATGCGACAATGTAATCAGCTCTTAAAAAGCAAAATCAGAAAGAAAAAAAATGAAAGAGAAAGGCTGAAGATGATGTTAGTCAGAACAGTTGTAGAGGTTTTTAGTTCAAAGACTCTGCACAATCAAGTATAGGAACCCTGAATATAAAATATAATAGATAGCCCACTGCTCTTAGCAAGATAAACACATAACAAGAGTAGAACCCTAATAAAATATTACTAATCTAGGAAGTAGTTGTGTGGGTACCATTTGGCAAACTCCTATATCGGGTGTTACGAGGTGCAGTTCATCAGGGGTATAGCAGGGTGCACATAGGATTATAACTTTGACTTACCAGGTGGTGGATGAAGAATTGTTATAGAGTGGCATCACCAAACAAAAAACACAATAAAGTCAATACATATAAAATCATAGCAATAATAATAAGCTTGTATTACTCTTTATCATGCATAAAAATACTCTTTTGAGATCTCACTTGCGACATGTAGGTATGCCATACTTGCCTTGAGGTTTCCTAATCCCGGGGTCCATACCCCATAAGGTCCGTTTGCAAGACGTCCTTTCATTCTATATCCCGTATGTTGGATATTTATGGTCATACAAGACATACATATTACTTTCATGCCTTGTGTGTAAAACACATAAAATGCATATATCTTGGCTATATAAGTGTGTTCGTTCTTATTTCAGGTAAAGCAAACATGCCCATAATATTTTATCAAAATCTTCATAATGCATATAATACATTTATATAGCATATATGTATCTCAGTAAATCCCATAATGTGCTCACCAAATTTTGCGCTTAGCATTTCTTTTGATTTCTCACTTCAAACTTGGTATTGAATTGAGAGTGTTTTCTTACTTTGGCATGGAAATAACGGTTTCATTTCAACCACTATAAACAGGTGATTACAATGCATTAACTATGTGTTCTTGCTCCCATGGTTGTGCTCTTATGAGAGTTTAACACCTCATGCTTTAAGATAAAGAATCTTGACACATCATGCTTCTAGCTTTTCTTTGTCATGCTTACTGGAGTTGCTTTGTCATTAATAACTTTGCCAACACATAATTCTACATAAAAAATCATAACTTGCTTGCTTTGTCATCAATAACTTTGCCAACACACACTTCCAGCCTTAACAACTCATAACTAGTTTGCTTTTGTCATGCTCACTAGACTTGCTTTATTATCAATAACTTTGCCAAAGCATACTCCTAGCCTTAAAACTCATAACTAGCTTGCTTTGTCATGCTTACTAGACTTGCTTTATCATCAATAACTTTGCCAACACATACTTCTAGCCTTGGCAACTCATAACTAGCTTGCTTTGCCAAGTATTTAGATTTGATTTCCTCATGCTTTGCCTTGAAAGCTACTTGTAAGCTATTTGCCATTTAACATATGATGATTTAAAGATGCTAATGTTGCTGGAGCCTTTTTTGTGCACTTAATATGATCATAATACTTTTATTTAAGGCTTAAAACACTGAAATCTAAAATATATAGAAACTACGGTGTTACAAGGCCGCTAACCACAATACCACCGCTATAGTGGTGCCATTAACAGCTTAGATCCAAGCCACCGGAATGCAAGTATGCATAGTACACGGCATTTGCTTGGTTAAGACCACAGTTTTAAAAAACTGTCAAGGCGTACGCCTCGAGGTGTGCCTCAAGACGGGACGCTCCAAGCCCAAATTATGAGGTTATGCCTTTGCTGTTTGCAATGAGGCATACACCTTACATGGATGAGGCACATGATTCTGAGCCGGGGAGTACTAGGCGTATAAGGAGCAATTGGAGTTTTTATCAGAATTTTAATAAATGAAACTCTAAAACACTCCCCTCCTCTCCTCTGCTGATGAATGGGTAGCCAACCCAAATGACGAAGAAGATGATAATGGTAGAGTAATTTACGTTGATGGGGCAATTGAAAGTGAAGGCGAAAGTTCAGCATTAAGGGAATTGAAAATACTGACACTCTAATTTCCTGTAATTATCTTTTTGTACTTTGATTCTTAGTTTAATCACCTAGAAGTAAATAGCTCATGCTAGATATTTCTCAACAAGATGGTTCATTGAGTAAGAATGGAACTATATCATAAAAGAGCACCCAGACAAATCCTTGCACAACATATGTATATAAAATGGAAGAGAAATACCCATGCACAAAAAATCACATAAGACACTAAAAAGTAAAAAAGCCAAATTCTGAATTAACATTGCTACAATTATGACATAATATAACCTGCATTCATGCAGACCCATATAAATAAGTTGAAGGCGCTTTTTTCAGGTTGATCACAGTCCATTAAAATTCACTAATATTATATCAAACAAAAGTAAGATTGCCTACCGTTAATACAACTATTGCAGTGGTTGCAGTAAATATTGTCTGACCATGTCCCTCTGGGAGTTCATGAACTGATTGCAAAGCAAGAGCAAAAGCCATTGCCCCTCTAAGTCCTGATTCATAATTTTGTTCAACTTTTGTACCAATTTAGTGAAACCTTGTCAAAGTAACATTTCTCTGCTTACCACTGTACCAAAGTGCTTTTTGGTGTTTTACGGGTATTTGTCGTTGTGCAGGTCGAACCAAGTTCAACAAATACGCACAAGTGAATACATTTGCAGCCCTACACAAAACAAAAATTCAATTTGTGTTGCAACTATTTTCTCGGTAAAAGTATCAACAACAAACGCAAGAAGAAAATTATAAATTTAATTCCTACTCAGCAATCAAATAAAACACTACTCGGATGATAAACCAAGCATACCTTGCTAATCCAATAAATATCTGGGGCAATCAAGTGCAAGTTAAGAAAAACTGAAAAAGTGCAAGCTTCTTCAGTGAACCAATTAGAACTAATGGTATTTTGAACAACAACTCAAGGATACAATAGAAAAGAAGATGAATCCCACATGGGACCAACTATGTTGTTCCATAGCTATATCAAAACCCATGTATATAAATCTGCAGAATAATCAACAAAACAAACAGTAGGAATAGTTATAAAGAACTAAATATTTAAAATCAGCTATAGTAAAGGTGTAATAACTAAGCACTAGAAAAATGAACTGAAGAGGCTTCCTTACACAAATGTCTCAGCTAAAGATGATATCAAATGAAAGAACGCAGCTACAAATCTCTGAGAATTTTCTGACAAGTTTGAGAAAGAATAATGCTTCATGACCTAGCCCAAAAAAGTCACGAACATTTTCCCTGAGAATCCTATACAAATATGAAACAGAAACCTGTGCAACCAAAACCATATTCACTAACCATTCCGGTGAACAAAATTGACACAATACCAGAGAGGCCAAGCCCTTCTGCTAACATGTACCTGGAATTAATATTGTCCCCAATCACATAGAGAGAGTACATTCAACTCATTTCACAAAATAAACTTAAGATAATATGTATTGAGCTTACGAGAAGTATGGGAAAAGGACAAACAGACAGCATTCCAAGTTCTGTAGACTGAAAATGATGCATGATATATTCGACAGTCAGTACAAGTGCAAGGTGAGACAAAATTTTCATGAAGGCAGATAAGCACTTACTTATCGATGTCCAAACCTGCATACTTAAATAGGTTCATGCAGTTAAGGTTTTACAAAAAAACAAGAATATTGTACATAATTTCAAAACAATAATGATTACAAAAAGGATATCAAAGCAGATGTGAATCCAACTCCAACACCTGTGACACAAGAATGACATGATCTGAGTAATCTCAACAAATCGATAAATAACAATGGCAAAGAATAACCCACATTGTTAAATATATCTATTTTGTATTGAGGTGATGGATATATTTAACATTGATATTGATGCAACAACTAAAGATATGAGAGAAACAATTGAGAAAACCGAAGGCTTTATTGATTCAATCCTAACTTCCGAGAGTTTGACATTCTCCACCAAAGTGTTTATACATCGACTAGAAAACTGAATACCTCCGTTAAGTTTTTTTTATACTTGACCCCCAACAGGTCAACCGCGTCCAACAACTCCCCCAACAGTTCCACCGCCTCCAACAACTCCCCCAACTACCTACTACTCCTTCCAACCACTAGCCTTCATGAAAGGATTAAAGTACCCTTATTCATTTCTTCTCCTAGAGTATGTAAACTGTACTCTTGGCATAGCAACCACCTTCCCTCCCCCCTCTAAACATGCACCTTGTCCTCAAGATGAAACTCCGAAAATTGAGTATTAATCACATCTAACTTCTCCCAAGATGCCTCAAAAATCAATAAATCCTTCCACTTGATGAAACTTCCCGCACACCCGCATTACTCCTTCGGCATTGTAAAGCCTCCTCTAGTTCCACTACCAACTCTAGCTCTTCATTCAATTGCAGAAGGATCTGGTCCCAAAAAGAAATGGCCCCACAAAACTTTGCATCCAAGCGATATGAATAAATGGATGGACTTTAACACTTGATGGCAATTGCAAATGATAAGCCACTTCTTGGACACGCTCCAACACCTCACAAGGCCAATAAAAACGATCTGACAGTGACACCTGATTCTTCCTATAACTTGATATTGATTTGTATTGATTGAAAAATAATAATAATCTGATACACCTTATATAGGTAAAACTAATTACACTTTGGACCCTAGACAATATT